ATCAAATGCAATGATTATTATTGGATCCAGCGCCTTTCATATTAGGAGGACATCCCAAAGCGCTTCAAAGGATACACTGTAAAGTATTATTATTATCAGTGCTGGGCATTGACCCTGCACGTCACTGTTCCTCACAGTGATTTCTTTCCTCACCACTTCTATCCTCCTACCACATTGCCCATCACACCCTGACCAATAAGACAGGAGAGGAATGGGCTCTGAGAGCCTTCCTGGTGCTACACTACAGGACTCACCACCCTGGGGTTCGGTGCCTGTTGGACTTGATGGTATGCTTGAATTGGGTAGAAACAAATGTTGCCCCAGACATACATCTTGAAGCTCCCGTGAACCCTCCTGGAATCCTGTAAGACAACAGAAGCACGGAAGGTAAAGCTTAGACACAAAGCCCCTGTCTGTGAGGCTGAGAGTTATTAACTCGCTTGAAGAGTGATATTTGCTGAGGTGAAGAGGTGAAATGCCTTTTGTTGGGTAGCAAACAAAGCCCTGTCCTGCCTCTCACCACGTCGAACAATTCCTCTCTCTCTTCACAAACTATCCTTCAGATTAGACCGAGGTCCAGTCAGTGACCTATCAAGTGGATTCCATGACTCCACGATGCTCTTAGAAAAAAGGGAGTTTTTCCTGGGGTTATGGCTAACAGATTAATCGGTTCATTTGCCATGTGTGGGATTTTGTGGTGTGAAAATTATCTGCTGCCTTTTTTTTTAAAAGGCATAAAACAGTCACTACACTTGACAGTAATGACTGTCAAAAACTCACTCATCTAAAGAGCTTTCCTTTCAACAACAACTTGTATTTATACAGAGCCCGTCACACCGGATAAATCTGGACAAAGGCCGGGCCTTGACCCCGAGCAGGGAGAAGGGCAGCAGGAGGTGACCTTAGTCCAACGATACCTGATCCAGGGTGTGTCGTTGAAGAGAGACTGTCGGAGACTCCAGTCTCTGGAGCCAGCTGGTCAGATCTTTGTTCTTTTATTTTTTATGAAAAGAGTGCATACCAAAAAGAGATGTTTTTTTAAAGAAAGTAAACCTACTCACTCTGTGGGTTGGGTTCAGCTTGTATCTAAATTACCTTCTTCATCTGCATCCTCATCCAGTGGCTCGTGACTGATGTTAGCTGTCATCACTGCAAATAAACAACAGTAATAAGAATAAGAATAATAAGTGGAGTCCTGTAGCTTAGTGGTTTGAGCATTGGCCTCACAAGCAAAATGTTGGGCAAGTTTCCTTACTCCACAAGCCTCTGTTTGCCAAGCAGTAAGTAGGAACCCGGTTGTTAGTCTATTGGCCAATTGTTTTTCCGGGGCAATAATCCCTCAAAAAAATATATTTTTTAAAAAAATAGCTTGGTCATTCAATCCACGACTGTTTGTGGGACGCCACTGTGCGCAATTGGCTGCTGCGTTTCGCCCACAAAATATACAGCCACTGCTCTTTGCAGTATATTCTGTGAAGCGCTTTGAGATGTCTCAAAGACGTGATAATGTGCTATATCAAATGCAAAGACTATTATAATCTTTTGATCTGATACAGCACCTGGAGGACGTCTCAAAACCATTGCTGGGTATACTGTACAGTGTAGGCAAAATTAATAACCCCAATGAGCCTCTCTGGTGCCACTTGCACTTCTCCAGGACTCACCACTTTGGGAACGTCTTATGGCTGGATTCGGTAAAAACATATGTTCACCTAAAGGCTGTTGTTCAACCTCATCCATCTCCTGCTGGAATTCTGTAAAAGAATAACATCTTACTACACAATAAACAAATAATAATAATCCTCACATTTGATATAGCACCTTAGCATGTCTTTGAGACGTCTCAAAGAGGTGATAATGTGCTATATCAAATGCAAAGATTATTATAATCCTTTGATCTGATACAGCACCTTTCATATCAGGAGGATGTCTCAAAACCATTTGCTCGGTATATTGTACAGTGTAGGAAAAATTAATAACCCCAATGAGCCTCTCTGGGGCCACTTGCACTTTCCAGGACTCACCACTTTGGGAACTTCTCATGGCTGGATTCGGTAAAAACATATGTTCACCTAAAGGCTGTTGTTCAACCTCATCCATCTCCTGCTGGAATTCTGCAAAAGAATAACATCTTACTACACAATAAACAAATAATAATAATCCTCACATTTGATATAGCACCTTAGCATGTCTTTGAGATGTCTCAAAGACGTGATAATGTGCTATATCAAATGCAAAGATTATTATAATCTTTTGATCTGATACAGCACCTTTCATATCAGGAGGATGTCTCAAAACCATTGCTGGGTATACTGTACAGTGTAGGCAAAATTAATAACCTCAATGAGCCTCTCTGGTGCCACTTGCACTTCTCCAGGACTCACCACTTTGGGAACTTCTCATGGCTGGATTCGGTAAAAACATATGTTCACCTAAAGGCTGTTGTTCAACCTCATCCATCTCCTGCTGGAATTCTGCAAAAGAATAACATCTTACTACACAATAAACAAATAATAATAATCCTCACATTTGATATAGCACCTTAGCGTGTCTTTGAGACGTCTCAAAGCGATTCACTCGATATACTGTAAAGAGAATTGACTGTATATTTTGTGTGCAAAATAATATAATATAATATATAATAATAACACAGCTGGCTGGTTGACCATTGGAGATCCGAGAGCTGAAACAGAAGCTCTCATGATATCAGCACAAGATCAAGCTGTATTTATGAAAATAGGATTTTGAAGAAAAACATTGATCGAAAATGATGACTATGCCATCAAGCACAGAAAGAGCAAACCACATGTTGCCATCATGTCCAGCTGAGGACCTGAATCAACATAACAATGTAGCTATATATATATGTATATATATATATTTATTCACTGGACAATTTGTAATAACTTTGATATTAATGTAAAAAACAGCTTTTTCAATCAGCAAAAGTGACATCCAAAGGAAACATCACAATAATCTGGGACTCACAAACGCATCCAGAGAGAACGGTAATCTGTAATAAATTAGATATATCATTATAAAACGCCAACTCGATTGTTATGGGGTGACCAAAAAAGTCGTGATAACTACGATTTTCTCTAAAGCATTCCAGTTGCTTGCCCAGCTAGGACCATCCTAGCCGTTAGGGCTTTGGCTTGTGGGGTTACCAGGAGTTGAGTGGGAGGATTCCCTGACGCAGTGACTGGTCTGCCATTCCGAGTATTGCCGACGAGCCAGGCTGGGCTGTGCAGTCATCAGCAATGCCCTGAAATACTGTGGACCCGCCTGGCTCAGGAATCGAACTGGAGTCCGCCAAAGAGGTGGGCTTGGTTCCAACATTCCGTTGCCAAGCAGGACACATTGGAGCCAGTTCAGGTCCAAGGAGATCCCGCTTCCCTCATACCCCAAAAAGGAGGATGAAACAAGTTCGATATACAGGGACATGCGGAGTCTGATAAAGGCAAGTCTTCAGCTGCAGTTTACTGGGTGATCTGAAGCTTGGCGCTCACGGCAATGTGGTAAATAAACTTTGAAATATACCCTGGTCTTGGGGGACCTAATTTATGGAAGAGCCATCTCAGTAATCACTCTGGATGAGACCATTCATGGTGGTGGGGTGCTGGCCATGCACGCAGTTTACCAGCCTGGCTCCACCACCTTCTCTCCTGCTTTATAACCGAACTCTATATCGCTGTCGACACCTCACTCTCATACTCACCCCTTACACTCGCTTGTTCTGATTCTTCTGCCATTTCATCTTCCACATGTGCATAGTTCTCCACTTCTGGCAAATCTGTAGTCAGGGCAGCTGTATAGTTCCCCAGGTCTGTAATTAACACAGAATATCAGCGCTGGGCACCGACCCCGGGTCTGACTGTCCCTCAGTATAGAATTTGCTCAGAAACCTTTGCCATGCCCGCTTTGTGGGCAGTGATCCTGCTATTCACTAATATGGACTTTCTTTCCCAATGGTGAGAGAGTGCATCTGGCACGTCTCACCTCTCCTCCCCCAGAGCCACCCACACCCAACACATGAAACTGCACTCACCACTTGTGGTGCAAGAAATTCTCAGGACCAGGAGAATTGGAATGCTCAGCCAATCGGAGTTTCCACTGGATCCCATTCCCTGCTCTCTCCCCATCGTGACTGTGCTGGTGCTCTCTCCCCACTGGAGCTCTCTACTCTAAACCCATTTTCTGCTCTCTCCCCATCATGTCTGTGCTGGTGTTTGCTTCCCCCACTGGAGCTCTTTACTCTAAACCCATTTCCAGCTCTCTCACCATCATGTCTGTGTTGGTGCTCATTCTTTCCTCCTTGGGGAGAGAGGTAAGCGGGTCTCCTTGGGTCTCCTTGGAGCTCAAGGTAACATGCTTGGCTACGGAATGTCAGAATCTGTGGCGTATCAGTAGTCCGGTTCCTGAGCCAGGCGGGTCTGCAGTATTCCAGGGCACTGCTGATGACAGCACAGCCCGGCCTGGCTCATCGGCAGAACCTGGAAGGGCAGACCAGTCACTGGGGGCAGGGAGTCATCCCACTCAGCTCCTGTTAACCCTGCAATCCAAAGCCCTAATGGGTAGGGTGGTCCTAGTTATACAAGAGGCGTGAACGTTTGCCAGACAGCAATATCAATCGCACGTTAAGCAGTTTTAGCTGGTTAGACTCCAGCAGTTACTGCAACGCACACTCTGGGGTCCCCAAGACTTGGCTGACCTTCACCTAATACTCTCCGGAATTAGGGAATCAGGATGCATTCCTCCAGGAAGAGAGAGCACATTCCATTCCAACACTCAATCTTTGGGATTTCCAAGTGTAGGTGGGATGCATGGAAATCTCAGCTTGATTTGGATACTCTTAAAAATGATGATGGGTTTCCGCATATGTCAGACGCGTGGCTGACCAAAAAAAAAGTGTTCGCTATCCCACTGGAGCTCTCTTCTCTAATCCCGTCCCCCTGCTCTCTCCCCATCGTGTCTGTGCTGGTGCTCGCTCCCCTGACCACATCAGCTTTCCCCTTTTTCAATGGAAACATAGAGCCTCATCCCGACGGGAAGATGGTCGGTCAGTCCAGCCAGCTGGGTGATGAAGCTGAACTCCTCTACCTCCTGTCAGGAACAGAGGTATATGTTAATCATGGCCGCAGGAGGCCGAGTCTCAAGCCAGGCTAAGTGGAGTAAGGAAACTTACCTAAGATTTTGCCCCGCCTGGGAATCAAATTATTATTACGCACTTGTAATATTAGCGCTGGCTGTTCTCCTGACTTGCTAAGGCGCTGTACAAATTCAAGTATTATTATGGAAGAGGAGATCAGTGTGTGTGTGTGGGTCAGCGGGAGAAGGGCAGCGCTCACCGTGGTCACATCGCTGTCGACTGTCTCTTCCCGATACAGTAAGTAATCGATCCTGCGGCCGTTCCCTGCTGCTCCCAGCTCCAGGTGATCCGAGAATCCCGGAGTGATCGGCAATGCCAGGTACTTTCTCCTCGTCTCCTCGTTCTCCAGGGTCCTGCAACCCACACAGTGTCTCAAGCTTCACATTACATACCATTCCTGGGGTCCTGGGCGGGGGGGGGGGGGGGGAGAGAGGGTCTACTGGGAACTCCTCAGGTGCGTGTTGTGTGTGTGGGGAGGGGGTGGAAAGGTAAACGTCTATCTGCAAGGTGAACTGCCTGCAAGGTGACGTGTTTGGTAATGAGTCTGCAGTGTTCCAGGACACTGCTGATGGCAGCACAGCCAGCCTCCTTGGCAGGTCCTGGAAGGGCAGACCAGTCACTGGGGGAGGGAGTCATCCACTCAGCTCCTGTTAACCCTGCAAGCCAAAGCCCTAACGGGTAGGGTGGTCCAAGCTGGACAAGCAGCAGGAAAGCTTGGCCAGACAGCAATATCAATGACAAGCTATGCAGTTTTAGCTGGTTAGACTCCCATCGGTTACCCCAACGCACACTCTGGGGTCCCCAAGCCTTGGCTCTTGCCAATGCGCACCAAATACTTTCCAGGATTAGGCAAGCAGGATGTGTCCCTCCAGGAAGAGTGCGGGTTCCATTCCAGACGCAGGAATTGCCACGCGTCAGTGAAAGACATGGAGGTCTCACTGTGGTTTGGACGTGGTGCTGGGTTTCCGCGTGGGACAGACGCCAGCCTGAGATCTGGCCCCAGGTGCTCACTCACCGCTGCAGGTTTTCTGGAGTGTTCACAGGCTCATCGTACATGCTGGCTTGTTCCAGCAGAGTCCCTGGGGAAGCAGACGAGAGATATTACACACTGCACATCGCAACTCTGCTTCAATGAGAAATTCATGCCCGACAAAAATGAAAAAAATTGCAGGACTATGGGGTAAGAGCTGGGAGTGGGACTGATGGGGGAGCTCTTTCAAAGAACCGGAACGGGCACGATGGGCCGAATATAACAACAATAATAATCCTTGCATTTGATACAGCGCCTTATCAAGTCTTCCGAGACGTCTCAAAGCACTTCACAGAATATACGGTAAAGTGAATTGACTGTGTTTTGTGGGCGAAATACGGCAGCCAATTTCGTACAGCGGTGTGCCACAAACAGTCGTGGATTTAAGTGACCAATTTTCTTTAGAAGGAATTATTACCCCTGGAAAAGCGATCCGCCAATCGACTAACAACCGGGCTCCTATTTACTGCTAGGTAAACAGAGGCGCGTGGAGTAAGGAAACTTGCCTAAGGAACATTTTGCCCTGCTGACAATCGAACCCAGGTCTCTCGCTTGCGAGGCGAGTGCTCTAACCACTGAGCTACAGGACTCCACAATGGCCTCTTTTGTGCTGTAATATTCTATGATTCTATGGTACCCCCACTGAGTGTCGGAGATGCTATCCCATGTGAAGGTCCCTATGTAAACGGCACACCTTATTGCCTGACAAACATACGGGCTTCCTAATGGCCTCAGGCCTCTATCCCGTGCAGCTCAGGCTCCTGGCCCTGCTGGCAGGAGTCGGGAAGGTGAGAGCCGGCAGCTTGGGGGCAAGTACCAACCTACAACCCAGGATTTGTCTTGGCCTGGCCTGGCCCGGCACGGATCTTTGTACATGTTAAACAGCCGGTGGTGCTGCTCAAGGTGGTCATCTGTGAAGAGAGATACCAGTCAGTCACGCAGGCCACAGACACACACACATATATATACACACACACACACACATCACTCCTCGTGTGCACTCACTCACCCAGCAGGAGCAAGACACTTGTGCAGGCACTCAGCAAGAGAGACATGCATGCAAGACACGTGTGTGCGGGGACCCAGCGTGAGGGAGACGTGGGTGACCTGTCTGGAGGCCCAGCGAGAGGGAGACACCGGTGCGCGGAGGTCCAGCGAGAGGGAGACGCACCCTGGGAGCAGTTGTCGAAATTAAGATCGCCGCAGATAACGTCAAACACCACCTTCTCCTCAGGCCCCCGCGAACTGCTCAGGAACAGTTGCACACAGTCCACCACCTCGTCCAGCTGTTGCTGTCGAACTGCAGAGTCCTCTGTGGGTGGGGAGATCACTCTTACCTCACAGCAACCCCCACCCCACAACTCCCACTCCCTCCCGAACGCAGCCCCCTCCCCAACGCAGCCCGCTCTTCCACACATCCCCCTCCCTCTAGCCCTCTACCCAACACAGCCCCTCCACACCACACACCTCCCCGTCCCCCCATCGCCCTCCCCCACAGTCTCCTCTTCCACACCTCCCCCTCTGACGGCCTGCCTACCTGCCGTGGCGTGAAGGTGAGTGCAGCTGAAATAGCCTACGATCCTCTGGCCTCTGTCAGACCGGCCGACCAGCACCTGAAACAGGCGGCGTATCATGGGGTTACTGTAGAGCAACCAGACGAGGAGATACGGGTCGGGGGGGGGGGTGAGGGAGACAGCAAAGACACCCGGCTTGTCCCAAACTAACCCAGTCCAGCTTACGGCGTTGCCTTGTACAGCAGAAGAAGTGTGTAGTGAGTGCGAGCGGCTGCTGGACTCACCTTGACACACAGTAGTCCCTTGGCGGCCAGCGCATCCTCCCCGCGGGCCGAGGGGAAGCAGGTGTAGTTGGCCTGCAGCACGGGGTAGCGGCTGGCCACGAACATCCCACTGTTCAGGAACTTGAAGCTGCAGCCACCCTGGAAGGCGTAGACGCCCACGTCTGACAGCGTGTGCGGGAAACACGGCTCCAAGTGCCGCCGCAGCAAGCCCGCCGCACGCTTGTCGAACACTTCCTGGAAGCAGAGGAACGCCACGTCCGGCGGGAAGAGGGCCGTGATCTCCCCCAAGGGTAGGTCCCGGGGATCAGGCTGCTCGGTGCAGGCCGTTCGACGCGCTGGGGCCGCGCCGGGCTGGCTCGGGGTCAGCAGGGCCCCTGGCGGGGGGAGGGAGCCCGCCGACTGCGGTGCCAGAGCCGCCCCGGGCTGGCTCGCGGTCAGCGGGGCGTCTGGCGGGGGGAGGGGGCCCGGGGAGCTAGCTTCGCTGCTCTCCGAGCTGTCCATGTGGCGCAGGCCGGGGGGGAGGCTGAGGGTGGGGCCGGGGTAGGGCCCCAGGCTGCTCCTGCTCCCACTCCCCACACTGGCAGCCAGGCTGGTGGGCGACTCCACCTCCACCCGCAGCCTGGGCCTCTGGCTGGTCTGCAGCACGCGGCTGGCTATTTGCTCGGCCCTCTTCTTGGTGTGGCCCAGGTTGTTGAAGCGGGCCAGCGACTCAGGCAGGAGGCACAGGTTGGCAGTGACAAAGCCAAAACCTTTGCCACCGGCGCTCCCCGTCCAGGTCTCCTGCTGCTGGGTCCCCCCTGTCTTCGTCCTGGCTTGTGAGTAGGTGAAAGGCCGGCGAGCGTTCTGCAGAGGAGCCCAGAGCAGGAAACCCAACAAGGCCAATGGGGTGAAAGCAATCATGAGGAGCAGGTGCAGCAGGAAGGAGAGAGAAAGCTTGACCGGCCGAAGACAGCACTCTTCCTCCTGTTGGTCCTTCTCGTAGCTGGTGGGCTTGCAGACAGCCACCGTGCAGTCCAGGCTCCAGAAACAGGGGAAGATCAGGGCCCAGGCCACACAGTGCAGCCCCCGAGCACAGGGGTTAGAGAAAGGCGACTCACGTAGGGTCATCGTGGCAGATGCGTAGATAGAAAAATAACTATTGGTTGGATTCCCTGACCTGGTCTGGCTTGGGTGAGGAGGTTGGTGAGAGCTGGAACCACTTCACTCCACCTACAAGGGAACAAGACAAAGATAAAAATAATAATTATACTTGCATTTGAGATGCCTTATCGACTAACAGCCGAGTTCCTACTTACTGCTAGATAAACAGAGGCGTGTGGAGTAATGAAACTTGTCCAACGTTTCGCTCTGCCCAGTAATCGAAGTCAGGGGCTGGGATTAGTGTATCACATACAGTGAGAGGCCGGGGAGAGGGTAGGGAGAGGGGTATATACACACACAGTGAGGGGCCGGGAGGAGGGTAAGGAGAGGGGTTTAAACACACACAGTGAAGGGCCGGTGGGTGGAGAGGGGTATATACACACACAGTGAGGGTCGGGTGGGGGTGGGGGGTAGGGAGAGGGCTATGCACACACACACACACACACTGTGAGGGGCCGGGGGTGGAGGGGTTATATACACAGGGACAGTGAGGGGATGGGGAGGGGGGGTGTAGGGAGAGTGGGGGTAACACTCTCCAGTCTCTTGGCACCACTCCTGTGTCCAATGAAGATTGAAGTATAATGGCCAAAGCCTCCGCTATTTGAACCCGTATCTCCCACAGCAACCGTGGGTGAAACCCGTCTGGTCCCGGAAGACTTTATATCAATTTTGAGCCCAGTCAATCTTTTCAGAAACTTCCTCTCTGTCTATAGTAATCTGATCCGTGTCCTCTGCCCTCTCAGTCAATACTGCGGCATTTGGGGCATCCACTTGCGTTGTGAAGACAGATGCAAAGTACTCTGCCTCCACAACAAGATGGCCGTCATTGCCTTTGATTGGCCCCACCCTACCTTTGACTCAACCTGTTTTCCTTCGTGTGCTTGTGAAATATTTCAGGATTCCCCTTCATGTTACCCGCTAACCTCTTCTCATGCGATCTTTCAGCCCGTCTGACCCCCCCCCTTTTAAGATGGCTCCTGCATTCTCTGCAATGCGCTTTGCTGTCCTCAGTGTCTTGCGTCTCCCAATTGTCGTACGCCGTCTTCTTCTTTTTTCATCCGAGACAGAATATCCCTGGCCACCCAGGCCGGCTTGGTTCTCGCCCATTTGCCTTTTGTGGGAATATATCTATGTAAGGCCCTGAGCTGTTGTATCTTTGAAGATCTCCCATTGCTCACGAGTCGGCTTACCGGCCATTCTCACTTGCCAGTCCACCAACTCCGGGTCCCCTTTTTAGCCCATCAAAATTAGCCCTTTTCCAGTCAAGCATTTTCACACTAACCCTAACCTGTGTCTGTGTATATATACACACAGTGAGGGGGGTATATATACACACACAGCGAGGGGGGTATATATACACACACAGCGAGGGGGGTATATATACACACACAGCGAGGGGGGTATATATACACACACAGCGAGGGGGGTATATATACACACACAGCGAGGGGGGTATATATACACACACAGCGAGGGGT